TGACTGGGAAGGGAAGTGGAGAGGGCTTTGGAGACTAGCCCCCAGTTGTCATGGCCTTTATCTTCCATACTGAAAGGAGCCGGGGAGATGGTAGCATTATTAACTTTATGACAAATGTCTTTATAATTTTACTATGCCTGCCTAGGGAAGGGGCGTGATAGGGAGGGCGTCAGATTCCATAAAGGGCAAAAGGATGGCTTGCTCCGTTAATCTCTTTGGATGGTGTCTAGAAGAGAACCAGGTGGGAAGATTTGCCTTTTGTTAAAAGAGAAAGGCTCCAGGGCACTGAACAAAACAGATTAAAAAAAAATATTCAACAGATTAAGTCAACAGATCCATCAGACACACTGATCCTCTTGTCCCATCTATCAGCTTAACCCTGGGCCATCAGACAGACACAACCCTCGGACCTCTTATTGGGTGCAAAGGACAATGATAAGGACTGGGACACTTCCCTTACTTGCCTCCTTTTTCCAGCTATCTCTCTGGCCCGCCTCTCTCCCTCCCTGCCAGGTAGTTTGCCAACCCATAAATAAACAAGCTGCTAATCCCTCTCAGGAGCTCTGAAAGTCAGTTAATGTTTATGTGAAATACTAAATCATCCTGTATCAACTGTTGACTGGAAAACATGACGAGCTTTGTGTCTTTTGTGTGGGGTTGAGGAAAATTCCATTACCCCTGTCTTTAGAGGTAGCTACCTGCTAGTTGGACATTTTGATCTGGGTCGGGGAGGAGGGATGGAGGAATCCTGGCTAGACTTCAAGGGACAAAGATACAACTGGCTAGAAAGCAAAGTTTCTTTCAAGTACTTTGAGCAAGGGTTCTTAACCATTTTTTGTGTGTCTCAAACCTCTGTGGCAAAACGTATGGACTCCCTTTTGGAATAATGTTTTTAAATATATAAAATAAAACAAAGAAGATTACACGGAAAACTAATTATCTCAATATGCAGCTATCAAAATATCATATAAGTATATGCATATAAGTGTATATATGTGTATTGTATATATGTATACATATATACATACATACATATGTACCCTAGATTAAGAATCCCTGATTTAGAGACTTTAATTTTTCATTTCTTTTTTAGAATTGAGTCTTTTAAAGCCAACATATTGTGATTTTCCAAACAGAGACAGTAGAGCAACTGTTTAGTTGGAGTGGGTTTCAGTATTCCTTACATGAAATCCTGCAGCCACCTCAGAAGCTGACCATGTGCTTGGGAGCTATTTACTTTTGTTTTCTAGAGTGTCTGACCAATATCACATAAAAGTCTAAACTGCACCTTAAAAAAACTGAACCCATGATTTTATCATTGTAGGGAACATATATGCGGTGTTAAATTTCCTCTCCTAATCCTGATTGCCACCTTCTCAGCAATTTATAAGCTTAGAGCACTGAAAAATTAAACGGTTTCCCTGGGGTCCCACAGTGAATAGTTGTCAAAGTGCTGGGCAGGGAGTCAAGAAGATCTGAGTTCAAACCCAGCCTCAGACACTTACTAGCTGTGTGACCCTGAACAAGTCATTTAACTTCTGTCTGCCTCAGTTTCCTCAACTATAAAACAAGGATAATAACAGCACCCATCTCTGAGGATTGTTGTGAGATCAAATAGAATGATACTTGTAAAGTATTTAGCACAGTGCCTAACACATAGTGGGTACTTAATAAATACTTGCTCCTTTCTTTCCTCCCTCCCTTCCTTCCTTTCTTCCATTAACTTTGTTACAAGGAATAGAAATGACATAAGGCTTGTAGTGATATAATTTCAAGAGGTCAGAAAAGGAATATTTACACATTGCACCTGTTTTCAGACTTTTTTCAAAGTATTGAACAATTGTGCTGATTTTTTTCTCTTCTTTTTGTTTCTTTTTTTGTCTTTAAAAATTACTATTTGTTATGCTAGATGGCTCTCTGGGAGAGGGAGGGATATTGGGACAACTATGATGATGTAAAAAATGAAAGACATTAAACTTTTAATAAAAACTTTTAAATAAAGTTAAAGTTTTTTAATAATAAACTTTTAAATAAAAGACATAAAAACTTTTTTTTAAAGAAAAGGAATATTATGGCTCCCAACAGATCATTCACACTCCTGAAAATCCAGCAGCAAGATATAGTGAAAAGAGCGCTGTCATTGGAGTCAGAGGACCCAGGTTCAAATTGTGATTCTTGGTATCTGTGACTTTGGGCAAGTCACTGAAACTCCCAGGGCCTCAGTTTCCTAGTCTGAAAATGAGGGGTTGTAATACCTCTTCCAGCACTAAATCTGTCCATTCCAGAAAAATAGTCATCCATCCTCTTCGTGGACAAGTAATATATAAAATATTATCTTTGCACTCCTTAGATAAACACTATTGAGAAAGAGGCTATGGTTTTGAAGCTAAGTGTAAGCTTAAAGCCAGGCCTCTAAGTATGCTTGCCAATTAGATCAAACTGTGATTATCTATTCATAAACAAGTTCCCCAAAGAGAGGACATCCATTTTCATTATTCGGGTTAGAAGGGGCACTATTGAATCCAGGAAGGCCCTTGAGGTTGTTAGGTATATTTTTTTTTCGTGTTATACCCTTTACAGAAGCCCCCACAAATGTTCTGAACTGAGACTTTTTAGATGAAAGTCTTATTCTCAGCTTGTGGATCTTGACCTATAATTTATCCAACTCCTAGGTGTTGTAGAGTACATAGAATTAGCCATAATCCCTGCCCAGCAGGCAGAGAGTTCCATTTGTGAAATAAAGCTGGGATTTAGAAGAACTCCCATTGTTTTGACCCAAAGACAGTCGAGGGTGTAGTTGATTCACAAAGCTAATTTGCCCCCTCTGCTCTGGGAAAGTTAAATTTCCTCAGCATACCGACAACATTCTACCAGATTCTAAAATGGCAGGAGAATGGCACCAAGGGAATTCATCTATGGCACCCCTAGACTGCATGGTTAACGTGTTCACTTGAACAATGATTTCTTGGCAAATGGAATTATGTCCACAGAATCACTGAATCTCACAGGGTATCTAGTTCACCCTATGTATAGGCAAGAATTCTTTGTGCATCCCCAACCAATGGTCATTCAATCTTGGATTAAAGCATTCCAGGAAAGGGTAATCAACTGCCTTCCATTAAAGCTTTTGAGATAGCTCTAATTGTTGGTAGTCTTCAGTCAGGCTGAAAGGGTGTTCATTTCCTTTGCATCTTGCCTAAATCTCATTCTTGGCCATTTCTACAAGTACCTACTAGTTTTATCCTCTGGGACCAAAACAGAACAAATCTAATCCCTCTTTGACATGATAATCTCAAAATATTTTGGTTGTGGTGGCGTTGGTATTAATCTTGCTTTTCAGTCATGTCCAACTCTTTGTGACCCCATTTGGGGTTTTCTTGGCAAAGAAAAAAAGAAAAAAAAAGAGTGGTTTGCCATATCCTTCTCCAGCTCATTTTACAGATGAGGAAATTAAGGCAAACAGGATTAGTTGACTTGCCCAAGGTCACACAGTATCTGAGACCAGATTTGAACTGAGGAAGAAAAAAAATCTTCCTGACTCTAAACCCAGCATTCTACCCACTGCACCACTTTGCTATCTACCTCAAGATACTTAAAAATGGCTAAATCTCTTCTCCAAGTTAAATTGTTATTATTGTTATTTGTTCTTTGTTCTCAAAGAGGACCATGAAATCAGGGAGGTGATGCCATGGCTTGCAAATGAATTGGATTTAAGTGAGGGAGGACTGTGCAAAGTCACCAGCCTCACTCTCTCCTTTGGAGCCATCTGAGTTCAGGGACCAGATACAGATCAAGATGACTGGAGATGTACCCCCCCCAATTAAATATCTCCAATCCTTTTACCTAATCCTTGCCTAATCTCCTATCCCTTCACTATGGTGGTCACTCTCCTAGCTAGCTTGTCACTCTAGATTGTCACTCTCCTTCCTAAAATGTGGTGCTTGCTGTCCCCCGTACCTAAAAATCTCTGACCCTTCACCTCTGCCTATTAGTTTCTTTCAGCTCTGGAGAAGATCTTTCTCCCCTTCCCCCTCCGGCTTCTATTACCTTTATCCATGTATCTCTTCCTTCCCTAGTTATTTACATTTTATAATGTAAGCTCCCTGGAGGCAATGACTATTTGATTTTTCATTTCTTTGTCTCCCACATGTTAACCACACCACCTGGCATAAAGTGCTTTAAAAAAAAAATACTTGTTGATTAATCAACTGTCACTTAGAACTGAAGAGAATACTTTCTAGTTTCAGCCTGACCAGAGCAGACTATGCTATTACCATCTCCCTCATCTTGGATATTTGTCCTCTCTTAATGCAACCTACATGACAGCCACCATGTTTCACTACTGATTCATATTTCCCTTAGAGTCCACTAGAACTCCTTGTAAGGGAGCTCAAAGTAGATTTTGAAAATAACACAATGCACTTGGAGTTATGCACTTCTATAAGGTTTGTGCTGTGCATGAAAGGCATGTGTCAACATGGGTTTTCTTTCAGTGTCTAAGAGGAGACTAGGATGGATATCTCTGGAATCATACCCATCTCTCCCCAAGAGAGATTTTGATTCCTCCCAAGAGGTAACAAAAGAAGCAGCCATAAGGGTAACCACTCTGTTCTCCCCTGAGAGAGGGTTATTAGCCTAGAATTATACCTTACCCCTACCCCAATATTGATGGACTAGGGCTGAGGTCAGCAAACTATGGCCTAAAGGCCAACTCCAGGAAGCCACTATTTTTGTGTGTCTCATGAGCCAAGAATGTGTTTTATATTTTTTTAACAGGCTTTACAAACACAGGTTGTGAGTTGAAGTTGGCCAGTGGGCCATAGTTTGCCAACCCCTGGTCTGGGAGGACAATTTTTTTTTTTTGAGTTCAAAAGCAACAAAGCTACTAGCTTCTTTGATCACTATGCCTTAAAGTGAAAGGGTACCCCAAGATTACACCTACTGGCTTGGCCCCTTCCCAGTAAATGACACTTACACAAAAGACCATGAGAAATACTGAATAAGAAGTAAATAAATTTATTCAAACATACAGCAAACAGAAATCAAAAAAGGTTATGTAGATTAGAGTATACTGCAGAAAAGTCATAGCATGTATTTTCCCAGAGAAAAATCTCAGCTCAATCAAGAGAGAGGCCCTCCAGGTTTACCCAAAGCAAGATTCCCTGAAATCTCTAGGGAGGCAAGTTGGAAATCAGTAACATGTTGGGGATCCATCTTTTCTACATATCTTCCACTTCCCAAAGTTTGTTGTTATTTTTTTTTTCTCCTCTGTCCCTGGGTCTCTCTCTCTCCAAAGACAGCCTGGAAACACATGTGTTTCTCTCAAAGAAAGAATGAAGAATATCTCTCCTCTCCAAAGCTCTGTAACCAACTCCTTCCCTTCTACTGGCATACAGTGTCAAGCCATCATTCTCATCACCAGTTTGGTCGATCTGCATAAACAGCAGCTAACAAAACATGTCAGGCTTGAAACTCTAGTTACATTTCCCAAACAGCTGGTCATTTTTGTTTTGTTTTAAGCCTCAAATGTTGGCAAGTGGCATCCAGGGTTGTCCCCAACCAGAATGTTCCTGATCACTGAGGGTGATTTAGTGTTGCAGTGTTTATGTCCTTTCACACATTCTGCATTTGACTGTTAAAACTTGCAGCCAATTCAGAACTCAGAAATGCTTCCTCTTTATTCACCACGTCCACTCAAGACTAAGAGGCCTAGAAGAAGGAAAAAAATAGCACTAGTTAGTCATTCATTTATTTGCAGAGACCATCAATTCAGAACTGAATGAGCTGTGAACCTTTAAGGAATGCTGGGCACCGATCTGGTCCAGTTCTCCTTGAAGGTTGTAGGTTGACTGTGAATGAGTGACCTCACAGGGCTAATTTAACTTCAAATAAGAGTGACCATGACCTGGACAATAAAAGTGGTAAACTCACGCTGGTTGAATTTAGGCTTTTAGTAGATCCCAGTGGACAAAGAAGCCAAGACTACCACAGAGATTTTCTCAAATCTCTTATGATTTCTTGCAAAGGAAGAAAAAGGGCTTTAAAGGTAGCAATTAAAGACAATATCATTGTCTCCACTCCCCATCCCCAATCAAATGCAATGATGCATTAGCTAATTACTAGTTACACATGTTAAGTACCTTCAAGAACAGAAGCTCTTACAACAGAAATCTTCATTTATGGTTATTCTCACACTAAAGGCACCTAGCACCAATTTCTTATGCATACCTGCCTATGAGGCCTGGGGGAGGTGATGTAAACCTTCACTTCTGATCCTGCCACACCTCATTATGAGGGTTCCTCAGGTGTGGTGAACGGTAAGGAAGCCATCTTCTGTTCTCCCTTTTGGAAAATCAGCTGAGGCAAATTCATAAGTAAAACATTTGTAGGTCTCTTTTGAAGCGCTCCCACCTTAGGGAGGCAAGGAGAGACAGGCAGTAGGCATCTAATAGGTGAGGGCAGGCAGGCAGCTGACCTGAAGTCTATTTCTGGGAAAATGGGACAGGGAAACCTTGTGCTTCAAATGATGTAAGAACTGTCATTTATATAATGTTTAAATAATTGTAATGATAATAGGATTATTCATTTAGAGCTGGAAGAGACCTTTACGATCCTGTTCAGTCCAACCTCCTCATTTTATAATTAGAGAAACTGGGGCCCAGATCAGTTAAATGAGCAGCCCTCGGCCGCACAGCTCGGGAGAGTCGGAAGCAAGAAATGTTCGACACAGGGTTAAAATTAAAGTCTTAGTGACTCAAATTTCAGCACTTTCTCCATTATACCCTCAACTGATAATAACACACCTGAAGTTCCTTTATAAACTTTATAATTCCTTATAATCTTTTACAAACTAACAGACAAATCCTTCTACTACAAAAACAAGCCCCTAAATATCCATTGACAAATTAACTGTACTGGAATTGGAGCCTCATTTCAGAAAATGTTGTTGCCCACAACCACTCAGATTGAGCCAGCATGGCACAGTAGGCAAGGCACTAGACTTCGAATCAGAAAAACTCAGATTCACACCCCATCTCAGCTACTTCTAGCTTTGTGACCACTGAGTAAATCCTTAGCCTATGTGTGCCTCAGTTTCCTTGTCTGTAAAATTAGGAGGATAAATTTGATGAAGGTACTTTCCAGCTCTAAATCTATGATCCTAGAATAATAGATCACTTATAAGGACTCAAGATCAACTTTTAAACAGATGTCTCCATACCAAATACTTCTAATCTCTAAAGAAATATCAAGTAGTGGAAAGCTCTCAAGATATAGGGACCTGGGAAAAGAAATGAAAACATTGTGGGAACAGGAGGAAGTACATGTCATTTCTCTTGGCCTGTCTTCCATTGGAACCATCACAAAGTTGCCTTCAGCAGGTCTATAGAAGATGAGCTTACATCCCAATATTCTCATTCAATTATAAAAAAATCAATCATCTTCTCTGCCTGCAAAACATTACATTTAAAAGAATAATAGCAGGATAGTGACTTGTTCTAGGACTATTTCCATCTGAAAGCTATCAAAAAAGATGAGAATGAGATAAGAACAATAATAAAAACCTTTATGTATACTTAACTATAAATTCAAAGGAAGTGTCCCAGGCTGTCCATTCCGTATTTCTGAAAAATTTGTAACATAAAGAATTCACCCCACAATCATAAATTTTACAAACTTCACAAAGTATCAGACCCTAAATGACATTATTTAATAGTATCTTATTCCCCTCTCTTATTTTTTTAACCTTATTCTTTAGCATATTTTCCACATTCTTCTGCTGGTATGTATTTCCACTCAACCTTGTTCATCCTCATATTATCTGTTTTGCTTTCATATATGGAAAGCCATATATAATGTATCCTATTATGATGAACCACAACATTCTCACCATTAACCTCACAATTCTCATCCACCATAACTCATTATTATTTAACATTGATTTCCTCCTTTTCTCAAAAACTTTCAATGGTTCTCCACTGTCTATGAAATAGTATCTAAACTCCTTAGGTTGATCTACAAGTTTCCACACAATCTGGCTCCGACTTCCCAACCCAACATCTTTGTAACTCCCACTATTCCGTAAACTGAAACCTCTAAGTCAGGTTGATTTATTAACTATCCCTGACATGGAAACAGTAAATATCCATGACATGGAAACACTAAATATTTTATAGCAATTAATTAATTTACTAAGGATTTCTCATCAATGTCTGTGCTATAAAGAGCTCTCGATTCAGAACCAGGGAAAATCAGTTCAAATTTTGGCATAGCTACTTACATCCTGTGTGACTTTGGACAAACTATTTAACCCCTCTATAACTTAGCTTTTGCATCACTAAAAATAAGGTTTGGAATGATCATTATAGATACAGAGCTGGAAGAAACCTCTTGCATGATATAGTATAGTGCCTGGCACATAGTCTACACTTAATAAATGTTCATTGATTGACAGATTAATCCACTGCCCCACACTGCCTTCTAAGCTCCCTTCAAGCCTCCTCCTGAACATCAGTTCCTTAAATTTTGCAATCCCTTGGAATGTCGGCTAACATCTGTAGTCACCAATCCTTTCCTTTATTTGCAAGTAACAGAAGTCAAAATGAGACCAAAGAAAATGGCTAAATAATAAGCAGTTCTTCCAAAAAACTTTCCTTTTTCTTGAGGAGGCAGACATGAAATCTACAGTTGTCAAAATGGTTTTCAACGTCCCACTAGCAGTCAGAAGACAGCAGGGTAGAGAGAGAAGAGGAGTCTGGGAGGCCCGGTATGTTTTCCATCAAGAGAATGTGGGTGCTGTGGTTATGCAAGGTGTCACAGCTTGAAAGCCGTTCCAGGTAGTGTGCTGTTGTGCACAAGGCGGAGCCATCAGCTGCTTTGGGGTTGTGAGCCCTTCTCAGCAGCACGTATCAACGTCAGCTCATGCAACATTTGGCTTTACTGGTTCTTGTGAATCAGGCACCCACATCCTGTTTGCAGCTGTGTTCACATCAGTTCTTCCTTTCAGCGATACCAAAGAGGATATGCCTTTATCCTCCCTTTTGTTTTGTTTTGTTTTACAGACAAGAGATGTTCATATCAGTTTTGCAGAAACTCCAAAAATATGGGTCATGCTTACACATACACCTCACTCTACACTGGAGCTCTAGGCACAAGCAAATCTTTTTCCTACTATTCAATCCACTTTATTTTTTTTAGTGTCAACTAAAAATTTAGTTTCTTAAAGAATATTTGGTTTACATAATTTAAACAAAAACAGAAAGTCATTGTCTACTCATATATGAAATCTCTTATAATTTCTAAGTAATCACAAGTTTCGAATTCACAATTCAACAAACATTTATAAAGTCACCTACTATGTGCACCTACTAGGTACCTTCAGGGTCATCAAGTACAACATACTCTAAAATAATTGTCTCTCATCCTTTTTTAACACTACCAACTTAATTCCCCACTCACAAATAATAGCCAGTATTGATTATCAGTTCATACTTCAAAAGTTTAGAACTGAAAGGGCCCTCAGAGGCAATGGAGTCTAAGCCTTTCACATTACTGATGAGCAAACTGAGACTAATGAAACTTCAATGACTTGCCCAAGGTGACTCATTAATGCCACATAGTAGGTGCTGGATTTAAAGCCATGAAAACTTGGGTTTAGATTCTGCTTCAGATACTTATGAGCTGTGAGACTCTGCCCAAGTCACTTTTCCTTTGGCTTCAAGACTTCCTTTGTAAAATGATGGTGCTGGATTCAAAGGTCTCTTAGGCCCCTTCTAGTTCAAAATCTGTCATCTTAAAGATTGCCTTTTGTTGAGTCTTTTCTTTCTGAATTGAACCAAGACATAATGCAAAAAATGCTGGTTTGGGAGTCAAAGAGCCTATGTTCAAATCAGGGCCCTTTCACTTCCTATCTGTGGAAATTTGCACCAATCACTCTCCCCTCTCTGGGACACACTTTCCTCATCCGTAAAATGAGAATGTTGGAGTAGATGATCTCAAAGGTCTCTTTAAGCTCTAGATCTGCAATCCCCTAGATTCCTCCAAGCTCTAAATCTATTATTTTATCCAATTCATTCTGATGAGCATTTATAAATTGTATATTATGTGCCAAGTATGTTAGGCACTGAGTTTAGGGCAAAAAATGAAATAATTTCTGCCCTCAAGTATCTGACAGAATCACTTAAGTGCATGAAGCTATGAGTCTATTTAGTTACACGGCGTGGATCAGTAGAAGGGAGCTTTTGTTTTGCTCTGGGGATAGTGGAAGACTGAATAGAAACTGTCTAGACTCCGCCCAAATGGTAATAAACCCCTTACTCCCAGGTCAAGTTCTAGGCCAAATGGGAACATTTTTAATTGCCTGAGATAGAGGCCAAGGAAAACTTGCCTCTTTAGCATTCATCTCATCATAAGACTTTCCAAAATGTTTGGCACTCCAAGAATGATGAAGTCACATGGATTTTGCATAAGCTCTAAAAGTCAAGATAATATATAATATTATTGGTGGAGCTGTGAATTGGCCCAATCATTCTAGAAAATAATTTTTAGTAATGGAAGAAAAGTTACTGAGGTGATCACATACTTTGACTCATAGATGCCATTATTAGCAAGGATCTTAAAATGGAGGGAAGGAGAGAGAGAAAAAAGACAGAAAGAGATGATATCCTATATATTCTATAAAGGATATATAAATATAGATACAGATATAAATACAGATATAGCCTATAAAGCTATAGCTATATTGATATAATTAAGCTTTAATAGCTTAAAACTATACTAAGCTTTTGGAACATCCTATATATACATGTATGTCTTTCTATGTGTATGTGTACATACATACATATATACTCATATACAAAGATATATAGCTATTCTTTTTGAAATAGAATATTGGAACAGAATGGTTGTCCATCAATTGAGGAATGGCTAAACAAATTATATTATATTATATTATATGGTATTATATTCTATTACACGGTACTATATTATATTGTATAGTATTGTATTATATTATGCGGTATATATTATATCATATATCACATATCATATCATATTATAGTATGATATAATATAGTATAATATAATATAGTACAGTATAATGAGAGGCAGCATGAAGTAGTCAACAGAATTCTAGACTTGAAATCATCAAGTAACTCAACTTCTCTGGGCCTCAGTTTCCTTTTCTGTAAAATGAGGGAATTTGACTTGATGACCTCCAAAGTCTCTTCCAATTCTAAGTCTATGGTGTTATATGATCTTAGTGGATGAATATCATCTTACATTTCTATAAGGCTTTTTTTTCTTTTGGATCAAACTTGTGATTTTATTGATATAGGGAATTTCTAATGGAGAAACTCTCCCAATTAAAATCAGCATGCATGTGATGCTTGCTTTAAGGTTTACAAAATGCTTTGCTTAAAAGCTAATATCTTACCTTCTTCAAGAAACTTTTCCTAAAAAAAAAAAGAAAGGAAAAAACTTGTCCTAAAAAAAAAGAAAGAAACTTGTCCCAGTCCACCTTAACC